ACATGCCACTCAATTCTCATGTATTTACATATCTAGCACCGAAACTTCAATTTTTACATACGTACCACCTCACCAATGCATGAAAAGGCACATTCAATTTTAAAGCTAAAAATGGTGATATTTTCTATGCTATACATAAGATATTGGTGGTATAAATGTTAAAAAAGATAGCAAAATTTAGGTGTTAAATATGTAAATGTGTAGGACTTGTGGGGGTATAAATGTTAATACCCCATTTAGGGCTGTCAAAACGGCTTGTTGTTCGCAAACAACTCGTGTTCGGCTCATTAAGAAACTCGTGTTCAGCTCGTTCACTAAGTTAACGAGCCGAACACGAACAAATATTTGGTCGTTCGTGTTCGGCTTGTTTTGACTCGAAATTTTAAATCTTGCCCCAATCCTTAACATCTTATGACTATGTGATTAGAGTTGTCAAAATGACTCTTTGTTCGTGAACGTCTCGTGTTCGACTTGCTAAATATTAATGAACAAATTGAATAAAAATTATTAAAATACATTCAAATGATGTTTTAAATCTTGCCCCAATCCTTAACATCTTATGACTACTTGATTAGGATTGTCAAAATAACTCTTTGCTTGTGAATGGCTCGTGTTCAGCCCGATAAGCAAACGAGCCGAACACGAACACACTTTTTGAGCTCGAAATATAAACAAGCCGAACACACGCGAGCCTCGTTTACACCCCTAATCCCATTAATCAAATATGTTGTATGGATATAAGTGTATCAATCATTTATTGCAATGCAATGTTTCTAATAAGAAAAAAAAATGAATTGAATCAAGTATTTGAGAGTTTATATTATATCCTAATCAGCATATATCATCATCTTATCATAATTGAGCAAAAAAACAATATAACAAGTGTAAATCTGTCCAAATTTGCATAAATACCCTGCCCAAATTACAAAATCAATAACATTATTTAAAATATATCAAGGATTCAAACAATTATATATAAAGACATAATAAATAAATTTGGTTCATTCATATAGTGAGATAAAGGCCCCAATCTGAAATGATACTCTATAAATCCTCAACAATATTTAGTCCTGAAATTAAAAAAAAAAAATTGATAAAAGTTAAAAATATGCAAATGCAACCCTATGATTATGAGAGGAAATAACAATTTTAAAATAGTAGAATCACATATCACTTTATTATTATTGTTATATATATATATATATATATAAGAAATGGTCGAAGACTATTATACGAGCATATGGTTATCATTAGGTGTGCTAAATATTCAAGTATCATATTGTACACACGAGGGGACTTGAACCCGTGACCTGAGGGGACTTACGACCTTCAAAGAAGCTGTTCTACCAACTGACCACAGTATGCGCGCAAGCGCGCACACAGATATATATAAATATATATACATTTTAAAGGAAATTGATATTTGATAGAAGCCCAAATATCAATTTCTCATGCACTTTTTGGCCCCATGATGAGAGCCCGAGGCATGTGACTAAAATTTCACAGGCCCCACGGTACGGTGGGATCGAACCCTTGACCTGTGGGGACTTACAATGACCCCACCACCAACAAGCCAAGACTTACCCCCCCCCCACCCACACACAAACACACACACACACACTATAATTACTATGATCCGCCATAATGCTTTTTACATTTACACCACTCAAATCTTTCATAACATAAAAAATACCAATATTTTAACATTTAAAAAGGCATGTGTGTAAAGATTAATGTTGAGGTGCCAGATATATAAAAACATAAGGATTTAGTTGTGTGCATGTAAATCTTCCTATATATTATGGAGCAACTATCGAGTCGAACACAGTCAAACAAAATCATATTTATGTTTGACTCGCTAAATAAATAAGCTCACATAAACAAGCAGAAATTTAAGCTAATCATTAAGGGTCTATTTGACGCAGCTGATGATTATTTATAATCTGCTGATAAGCAAATTACTTTGATAATCTGATAATCTGCAGATTATCAGAATAATCTATCTTGTTGTTTGGGGCAGTTTATTCATATTAGCTTATTGGTGGTTAAATGACATTCCTACATCTATCTGATAAAACTGTTTGGGGCAACTTATTCAGAATAACTTATTGGTAGAACAAAAGTATATAGTGCAGAAACATACAATCATCGCAGATCAGTTATAAAAGATGACATACAGTTCTCACACTTTCATGAGTATCAGGAGAAATAAAAAAAAGTACAACTACAATGATAAATATTAAAATATTTAATTTCAGACTCTGGCTACATCTGTCCTCATCTGCATTGTCAACCTAAGAAAACACCAGATTCACATGACTGCTGGCAGTGTAATATGAGGGACTTTTAGCCCACCGGAAGAAGCTGCAGGAAGAAGCTGCAACAAGCAGAAACACCCTTGGCACAACCGTAGAACTGCCTCCCAAAGTTTTTAGAATGACGCGACGTGAGAAATGGAGCCGGTAGACCACAATAACACAAAAGACCTCTGTCTGTAACTGATATCCTAGAAATCATGTTTGTTTAACTACGGGAAAAACAAAAAAAAAATAATGAAATGCCAGTACTTATTCCAAAAAGAAAAATAAAATTCACGTAAAAATTAATATTTGTTTAAATAAAAAAATTTGTAAGTAACAAAAACATAATAGCGATTTTACCTCTAATTTATCGGCCCACCATTCCTCAGGAGCATCAATTGTCCATTTGATTGGATCCCACCCCAAACCTGTGGATCCACGTTTCAGCTCCTTCCAAATTTTCCGCTCCTTTCAAATTTTCCGCTCCTTCCAAATTTTCCACTCCTTCAAATGATCCCATTTATTTTTAAACTTCAGTCTGTCATAATCTCTTCCAGTTAATTTTTTAAACTTCTTTGATATGTTATGTCAACCTTCCTTGTTGAAATAGGTGGTCGGACTATTCCCGATCTTAATCTCGGTGATGCAGAGTTAGCAAAAAATAATTATAACCTCCTTATCTCACATCGCTGAGGGACCACCTTCACTTGTCTTAGACATTGTGGTATTATGTGAAGAAACACATAGATATATTTTAAAAAGTTAACCTACATCAACAAATTGAGCATACATCCATAAAAAATCCAACTGAGGTAATAGCTAAATGTCAGAGAATAAAAATAAAAATTTTGCTCACAGAAGAAAAAATAAAAAAAAAATGACATAGAGGAATTAGTGGTTCAGTCAAAGATTTACATCCACAGTAAGACACCGAATATGTTTTATTATAAAATTGTGTAAGGTTACATAGTTATGCTTTTCAAATACATAGCAAAGGTTCTCGATAGACATCTAAATTTGATACATCTCCTCTTTATATAACATAGCAATAGTTGCATCTCCTCTATTCAAATACATAGCAATGGTCTTGCAAAGATAGTGAAGATAACCCAATTATGTCTCACTAAAGGCACATACATTCAGCTAAACAACTGACATGTGTAATATTTAAGTTCTTAATGGGCAATTCCACATATTTAACAGAAAGTAAATATTGCCACTATTGCATATGTTATAACCATTGGTGCAGCTAAACATTGAAACCATTGTCATTGTCATAATTCAAGTATTGCCACTATTGCCTGATATAAAACAGAAAGTAAACATTGTCTTCTCAACTATTGCCACTATTGCCTGATATAAAACTAGCATGATATAAAACATAAAGTAAATATTGCCTCCTCAATAATATAACCTTTGCCACTATTGCCAAGCAAACCGAAAAGACCGAAAAGACGAACCAAATATTTCCAGGTTATAACAGGAGCTGATCAATATAAATGGTGCAACTAAACAATTTTAACAGAGACCCTTTGCTTTCATACACCAAATGGGACTAACAGAGAATGCATTGAAACAGTGATAGGGAACCATGACTGTAATCTCACATAACAGTTTATACAGTATAACGATTCTTGTTTCACAGCAAACAACATAACAGTTTATACAGTATAACGAATCAAAGATGCAACCCAACAAACAACATAACAGGGCTGCACCTTCCTTCACATACCAACAGTTAGAAGCAGCTGGAAAAATTCCAACAGTAACATGAAACTAAAATACCAAAAAAATCAAAACGTAAAGGCTCAAAAACAAATTTCAAGCCTTCACATACCAACAGAAGCAGCTAGAAAAATTTCAACAGTAACATGAACCTAAAATACCCAAAAAATCAAAATGTAAGGGCTCAAAAAAACATTTCAAGAGTTCCCCTTAAACATTCCAACGGTTCCAACAGTAACAGACACATTCCTTCAACGAAACCCTAAGATCCATTTCGACAGCATAAAAAAAAAACCCTTAGATTCATTTCACTCCAACATTTTGAACAAAGCTTCAAAAAAAAAATCCATTCGCAACGTAACCCTCAAAAAAATTAAAAAAAAACGCATTAAAACCTTAGCATTAAGGAATCGAGCCACATAAAAACCAAACAGAGAATACCGAAGCATTGCGGCATATAGATCTCACCAGAAGATTACGAAAGAGAAGATCCGGAAAGAAGATCGCGAGGGAGAGCGCAAGAGAAAGGAGATCACGAAGGAGAAACCGCAGGGGCACGGGAGGAACTCGAGCCCTAACAAATGCCGAATGCAAGGCCTCGCTCGCGTCCGATCCGTAGAACAAATATAAGATGCGATTACGGGAGTTTTCAAAATGCATGGCCGAACGCATTAAACAAACACTACGGCGGCGTTTTCAAAACGTCGCTGCAACAAAATAAGCTGCCCCATAAGCTGCTCCAAACGGGCAGTAAAAGAACACACATTAAATGAAAAAAAAAAACATGCCAATCAATAAACATATCTAACACCTACATTTTAATATTTAGGTTCATAACACTCAAATCTTAACTTCACATAAAAAAAATATCACTTCATAGGTTTATTGCACCAGTGTTATCAATGTAAATATCAAACTCTAAGTGATATATGTAAATTCATAACAATAGTAGGGAATGTATGTAAATTTCCCAATGAAAGTTATGGCATGATGATTACCTGTTTGATGAGCTAATAAACTCTTTCAGCCGTGGATACAGGCCGGAGGAAGACGACAATGACTGTAATATTATCTTTGCTGCCACGTGCAGCAGCTTCAGTCACCAATCTCTTGGAACACAGTGTTGGCTCCTTCACAGTATCTCTAATAATGGATATCACTTCTTTATTGCTCATAACATCCCACAGTCCATCACTAGCCATCACCTTAAATGAAATTTGATTAAGTTCAATTTTAAAATATTTGAATTTGCTTTAAGATTAGCGTAATATAACTCATCAAACAATTTTTATGGGAAAATTTAGAAAATTTACAGACATAGCACTCAATTCCTATGTATATAACAAATCTAACACCTAAACGTGAATATATGTTACTTTTGATGTGATTGAGAAATAGTGGCAGTTGAAAGGTAAGGAGGAAAGTTTAGGTGGTAGATATGTAAACACAGGAATTGGATGGTATGTATGATATTGCGCGCATCTCAAAGTAAGTTATGAAACCCATCTTGATTGATGATCAGGATATCCTCATTTAATTTGGCCCAATAATTACGTTTACTATTTCGACCTTTACTTCAGAAACTCATTTACATATTTTCCAGTTGAAGTTGTATGTTTTGGAACTGGATACAACATGCAAGTAAATTTTCCTAATTCCTATGTATTTACATATCAAACACCTAAACATTACTTTTTTACATTTATACCGCCTGAATTTTTTACATCATATAAAAAATACCATCTGATGAAAAAAGTGGGCACTAAATATTTTAACATCATATCAAAAACATTTTAACACTGCAATTGCCGGTCCCAAGACTGGATGTGAAAATCTGGATATGAAAAGTGGAGGGTTGCGTTAGGTAATCCACAGCCTGAGTAAAACTTATCAAAAAAATCATGACATAAATTTAGCTCATGTGACGGATAAAATTAGAGAAAGTCGTCTTAGATGATTTGTCACATTAAGCGTCGACCATCTCATGATCCGATTAGGAGAGTAGATGTTTTAGATTCGATTTATGTTAAGAAAGGCAGAGGTAAACCTAGAAAGTCTTGGGCTTATTGTATAAAAAATGATCTTAATTTGTTAGAACTGAATGAAAATATGACACTAAATAGAATGCAATGGAAAAAAAAAATTCATGTAATTCATGTAGCCGACTTGACGTAGTGGGATTAAGGTTTTGTTGTTGTTGTTGCTGTTGTTGTATATAAAAAATACCACTATTTTGACTTTCAAAAAGTGAAATATATCTTCTCTCGCATAGGTAAAGTGGCATATGTGTAAACGTTGAACTTTAGGTGTCGGATATGTAAATACATAGGAATAGAGTGGTGAGTATGTAAATTTTCCTATATTCAATCATAGTAGTCCGATATAGATATCAGTAGATAAAAAATATAAATGGAAGCAGAGGTGTTATGAGATCTACCAAGAACTCATCAACTTCAGACAAAGAAGTTTCTATAATCTCAGGCTCCGCAGTCACAGCAGGCTTCAAGTCATCATCACCAATTGATCGTGTAACCTGGAAATAAAAAGAGAATCATGACCTATAAAATAAATACTTATGCATGGGTAAGTGCCATACATGTAAAAATTAAAGTATAGGTGATAGATATGTAAATACTAGGAATTAAACAGTATGCATGTAAATCTTCCCATATTAAAATATAGGCAAAAAAATATGTTTAGCCTATATGACTAGAAATGAAGTATTAAGTTACTAAAATGCAATGATTGATGATACGCTGAACCCTTTAACTAGGATTTAACCAGATTTAACATTCTAAAAATAAAGGCTATAATAATAATCAAGTTGTAATCACTCAGATAAACACTTAAAATTAGGGGTGTCAAATCCGGTTTGCAGTTTGGGTTTGAGATTGACCAAAACTGCCCAATATAACCCCAAACCGAATATTAAACGGGTCAGAAAGTTTAACCTGAACCCGACCGGCCTTCAATCCGTTGACCCGAACCAATACCATATAACCCATTTAACATAAGGTATAACAGTTATTCATGTCAAATTCGAGTCGATTTAAAGTCGATCTCAGACCAATTTTGGTTGGAAGAATCGATTAAAAGTCAATTTTGGGTTAGTGGGTCAGTTTCATGTTTCCAGGTCAACCAAAAAAAATGAACTGATAGGATTTTTAACCCAAACTAAAAATTATTCAGGCCAACTCGAAATCTATTTTTTAAGTCAAGTTTGGGTTGAGTGTCCTTAAAAAGGAATGGCATGCAAATTGGAAAAACCTGAAGTGCAGCAGGGCCAACCCTCCACGTATCCACTTGCCACGTCACTTCCATGCCTTCATTCATAACACGTGTCCTTTCCTCAGGACAGCTTGCAAGATGCTCCTGCATCAAATTTCGTGAGATAATGCGAGAAAAATATTAAACACCAAGAGTAATTAGCATATATTCGATTTATCGTAAACAAAAAAAAAAAAAATTTACAAACATACCACTCAACTCTTATGTGTGTACATATCTAACATCTAAACTTCAATTTTTATAGATATACCACCTTATCTATGCAT